CGCTGCATTTAACTGGGTTCTTTCGGTAACAAAGAAAAAGCTGAGAATTGTTGGGTTCTTTGCGTCGTTATCTTTTCTAACATAGCTTTGTAATAAAAGACTAAAGACATCAATACACTGCGTTCAATAATGGAGAAAAATAGCGCATATTGTGCGGGTGTTGAGTAAATAAAATGATCGCTCTATTGAAGGCATGTTCGTTTTTCAATCCTTATGCACGCGCTGAATTGCATCGGCAAAAGTGCGCGCGAAAACTGTGTTCGGCCACCTTAAACTGCTGATTGCAACTATGACAAACAAGAAAGGCAATTAAAGGCTATTGACGTTAAATTGCTGTTTTTTCTTTTTATTTAATTTGATTAGTACAATATGAGGATGAGCGAAGGTACTCAGTCACGAGCATTCCGGATTCGTCCAAGCAGGCTCTCGATTCGTACCGGCGTCCATGCACCAAACGAACACGAAACGTTTTGGTTGAGGAAATCTCCTGGGCTAGATTTTGGGAATCCGGTGGTCCTCCTTACCCCACGGGGTCACAAAACGGCTAAAAACTCCCTGGATAGGCCCCAGTCTCTAAGTTCAATAAATTCTGAGAGATCCCAGGCTTCCCTCTTGTTTTGCGCCTGGTGCGCGTGGGGTTAAAGGTCTGTTGCACTCGAAAAGGCGGACTCTCCTCGCTTCCCGACCTAACCATCAGGCGTCAACGATGAAATGCCACATCGCCTGGTGACAAGGCAGGAAAGATCCCATTACATTAAACACAAAATTGTACGTGCAGGCGGCGACTGCAAGTAAATTGATCGAACGCTTTACCGGATAGCTCAGTTGGTAGAGCACTGCAACGGTATCGCACAGGTCATGGGTTCTGTAATGTTAGCAAGATAAGCGAGTACGAGACAGAACTAAACGCAACAACAACAACACATTTAATCGAGCAACATGGCTGCAAGCTATGGCATGTCGCAAGGACCTCTTGGAAACAATGACCCACGTAACAGCTTACATCAGGGGTTCGAATCTCGTTCAGGCCTTCATATCTTCATATCTTTCTCCGAAGTTCAAATATATGACATTCATATCTTCATCTTTATTTGTAGACCTGTAGACACTTGTCAAAATAAGTGTATTTTCTCGCCTAGTTCCTGAATGCAGTGAATGGCTTTCTCTCAGGTCAATTTGTTTGGTTGTTGACAGTGTGGTTGACACGAAACGCAGAGGCTGCGGAGCGTTTTGAAACATGAGTGGAGGGGGGCGGGGTCAGCGTTAAGCCCAACGCAAAACTCTACTCCAAAATGTCTTTTGCATTGTTGTTGCACAAACAAACTTCTTTGCGGTGTCTACAGCGTTCAATGTGTCCGTAATAGACAATGCAGGAGCAGACAGTTGTTTAAATGATCCTGCTTCATGGTGCTTCTAACGTAGGTTTTTAGTCTTCACAGGGCAGAAACAGTGCGCTGGGAAGTCGTCGATGCCACTGACAGGTAATATCAAATACAATCTTAACAATTTGTGAACCTCTCCTAGAAGCGTTTTGGTGACAGGAGGTTTGTTGAGAGCCGTGGCAAATGGTTCTTGTGTTTGTAACCTGGCGTACTTCGAGCAGATCACGCAACGAAATATTTTCTCAAATCAATTTTATCCTGCGCTACCGATATTTTCGGCACCGAAACGTGGCGGGCCGAGCCCCACAAATTTTTGTTTGGGGTTCTACAACTCCC